CCTGAGAGACTCATAAACGGGAGATTCAGCTGGGTTCCAGGTGAGTCTCTCGAAAGAACCAAATTAGTTTGCAGATGAGTGTATATTCGCTAACTTATTAGTTTGGGGAGATTTTAGATATGCTGAATTAAAATTTCGTCCTTATTGGAGATCATTAACAGTGTGTATCTCAAGGGAGTTTGAACACTACCATTCGGCAAGAAGCGAATGAACAACAGTGTGACTGCTTCTCATCTAAACAGGACATAACGCCACACATCCTTCAATAATGGGACCTTCAAGATGTGGCACTGTGGTGACTGGCCCCTAGATAGATGACTTCTCCGTTGAAGACTAAGTTATTGTCAACCACTGGCCTGTAGGCGGCAAGTTCGAATGTTCTTCGAGCTTCACAAGACACATGGATGGGACAACTCCAAGTCGCTTCTCGATTATTCGGTATAGGTTGGTTTCACTTGCTGATATCGCGATGGAAGTGGCCTTAATATGCAGGGCTAGGTTTGCTCTGAAGAGACGGCAAACAAGGGTGAAGCCAGTAGAATTGTACACTGCTAGATCGCAGATCCAGTGAACTCCTGGCCCTGCAAAGAAAGCCGGACCTACAGTCATTCGGAAATCAGTTTGGTTTTCACGAAAGACTGAACTGAATCTCTCGTTTATGCTATTCTACTATTCTATTCAGTTGAGTCTCTCGAGAAAACCAAATTGATTTGCAAATGAGTGTATTTCTCGGAAACAGTCCAATTTCGGTTCAAGTAGAACATAAGGTTGACGGAAACTCGGGGACTGCGCCTACCTGATGAGCTCCAGGAACGGCGAAACCGGTCGTGAGCTGTCGAAGAGTTTTCAGCAACCTTGCGAGTAGTTTCCTCTATGAAAATATACTGCGATATCCCGAGTATCGTGCCAACTGAAACACGACGCGGCCTGTGTGCAGCACTTTCAGTTGAGGAATATCATAAACGAGAGATTCACTTGAGCCTCTCGCGAAAACCAAGTTGACATGCAAATGAGTGTATTTCTCGAAAACAGTGCGATTTAGGTTCAAGTAGATCATAGGTTTGACGGAAACTCGGGGACTGCACCTACCTGATGAGCCCCAAGAAGGGCGAAACCGATCGTGGGCTGTCGAGAGTTATCAGCGTTGCGAGTCGTTGCCTTTATGAAAATTCGGACCTACTTTAAACCCAGCGTAAACATTCTGCGTACACAACAGGGCACGAACCTTCAACAGTCCGTCAGACACATTTCTGCACTAGCATTGGAAATCACTACACCCGTTTCTAAGTCGAACGGTATCCAGCTATCCCCGTACGTTTGTTTGGGCCTTCCTGAGTTGTGCAAGCCCCCGATCATGCGCTTCACAGCTATCAGGCCATTTCAGCAATGCGTCAAACCCAAAGAATGAGATACATGTGTGCGCTGACGATCACGCAGTACGTGACAAAAACTGGGAGACGCTATCTACTTACCACAGCATCCGACAAAAGATTCTGAAAACGCGTCGAGAGCTCTGAAGTGTCTGGGAATATTTCATCCATCAGCTCACCGTCCAATTTGTCCACGCGTAGAATGTGAGGAGTGAAAGGCCTCACTTCCAGTTGAAGAGTATTCACATAATTCTGAATCAAGGACGAGTAAAATGAGTATGAGATAAAAAAAAATCCACTCCCGACTTTTTGGGATGAAAATGACTAAGTCGTTTGGTAAATTTAAAATGGCCAACAATTTAACCAAATTTTAACCAGAGCGGGCCAGCGAGTAATGAGAAATAGTTTTCCAGGACAGATCAACAAACTCCGGAAACCGTTTATCCGGTTTTGTTGTTTTGTTGCTGTGATCAGAGGTTTTCCTCTGTATAAGAGAAACAGCTCCGAACGTTACGAAACCACACAACTGTCAATGGAATAACCGTTTTTCGTTCAGACAGATTTCATTAGTTGTTCTTCACTCATCCTTGATGGATGAGTTCTATCCTTGGTATCACTTTTTTTATCCACTTGTACGCGACAGTGATCAACGGATCAGTCGGTTCGCACATTCATTGACTTTTTCTGCTTCGCTCAAGCGCACCAGGCTTTCAGTCGGCCATCCAGACCGGGATTCACGGTAATAAGAACGCATTAAGGAGACTGTGGTCCACAACACCCCGTAATGTGATTGAATTGCCTTTGAAGTGAGATGGAATCGGAAATGTCAGCCGCGCCTAAAACGAAACGCATTTGTTTATGCTGTTCAATCATGTTATATCTGCTGATTCGCCGGCCTGTGGTATCTACTGCTGACCCGCTCCGGTGCCTAGTGTCGGAGAGAAAGGGCTCACGGAAGGGAACACAATAGCTATATCCCAACAAAGTGGTTGCGAGAGCGCGAGTACGTGCGAGTGCGAAAAGTACAACAGCCTCAAGCTTTTTATTAGAAGTACACTGTCTGAACTTGGTCCAGTGCTGACGCACGCGGTCTGGCTGCGACGTGCTGCATATTGCGGGGGCGTTGTCTGACCTTGATCAACGCTGACTCGCGCTGTCTGGGTTAGGTACAAGGCTGTGAAATGCTGCATATTGAGGGGGCGTTGTCTGTCTGGTCAACATCTAGCGGAGCTGAGAGTCTCCGTAGGTTCCGGACATTCAGTGGTTACTTTCACGAAGCTGACCTTCCTGATAAATCATTTTTTAAAGTTGTGCAAATTCCTCCGGTTCTTTAGATTTTGTTCCAATTAATGAACCTGTTTACGAGGAAGCTGAGGAAGCTGGCAGCCCTAAAACCACGAGTAAGCAGTGGTCCCCTAGAACATGGATGTTGGAAGGACATCGCCTAAAAAGAATACGGGAAAGCTATAGTCGCAGTATTTTAGCATTGGAAACTGTTGCATGACCCCGTAGCTTACAACGGTACCCTCATCGAAGTTTAATGTCAGTAGAAACGTGATTCGAATTTCGACTTATTAAGTAGATGTAGTGGATGCGAGTGCGAAGTTGAAACTTCAACATCACCATCACCATCAACACCATCTTTAAAGAACTCTTGCAAACCGTTGTTGTTGCGAACCTACGGTCTTCTGTCTGTTTGGCAAATAGCGGCTGAATGATTCCAAGGGGAGCTAATGCTTGGATCACAGCATACTTTATTGATCAACGTAGATGTATCCTACCCATTAACTTCGGATGCAATTTTTTTGGCCAAAATTTAAATAACTATATATTTATTCCGCTAAACCAGGAGTGAATTATTGTAAACTTGGCCAAGTACTGCACGTGATCACAACGCTGGTGCATACGTGTGAGATTTGTGCAAAAATGCGACGTGCTGATTGGATTATTGGAAAGCAGAGACTAGCGGCTCACCATGAATGACTAATAGCAGTGCACACAGATGAAACATTTAGAACAGTTGTACACCGAAGACAAAACTGGTTCAGCATATGGGACTGGCAAGGAAGATTAACGGAATCTCGTGGCATGATTTGGCCGAACCAATTCAGCTGCCCTATGTGAACCATGACTCCATCGCATAGACTAAATCGTTCAGCCCTAACACCTTTTCGGTGCCACCGGAAGAAAGCACAAGACCTAGGATACTGCCAGGTTGCCCAGGCCTAGACAGGGGAAGTGAGAGGCAGTAATTCAGCTGCCCTATGTGAACCATGACTCCATCGCATAGACTAAATCGTTCAGCCCTAACACCTTTTCGGTGCCACCGGAAGAAAGCACAAGACCTAGGATACTGCCAGGTTGCCCAGGCCTAGACAGGGGAAGTCGAGAGGCAGTGGTCGGGTTCGAACCAAGGACCTTCCGGGAGGTAACTTCGCATTCTAGCCACTGAGCCATCTCTAATCCCCCCTCCAGTCGAGTACACAAACCTGGCATTTGTTCTGTAAAAGGGTAAATCGATGTGACAACTCAGTCTGCTACAACAAAATCAAAGCTTTGACGTCCTTCATACAACGCATCACTGAGTGGATCCTTCTTCCTATTGGACTTGCAGATAGTAAATGGCTATCCGTTCGTTTGTTCGTTCTGTGTGATTTTCTTTCTTAGTCAGAAAGTGACATCAGCTGACTGGATTTTACAATATTTGGTGGATACTGTTTGATTCACAGATCACTCTAGTGACCTCGGTGAAACACTTGTGTCGTTGTATGGGTGGGATTCCCAAGGCCAAATAGGCAAGGTCACAATCGGCCATGAACACACAACACAGCGGCAGAACTTCCGTTGAGTATCGTCAGTTGACGCGTCATCCACATACTCATTCAGAGCATGATAGAGAGTTTCGTTCAGCCGGACAAAATGAAGAGCTGGGAACTTCCTGTATGGAATGGAGCCCCTGCTTGTTAGCCAATTCTGGCAGATTTATGTCAGATGCTTTAAAAGTACTCCCTGTAAATTTTGGACGTTATTTTTTATTGTACTCGTCAGTTGCGTACAAGAACTCGTCCCCTTCGTTTCCTAATAGTCGTGTGACTTATTTGTATAACAGTTGAACGACCGATCGATTGCCTCTATCATCAACCTGATCAAGTTCTGACAAGCCTCCTGAAATAGATCGAAACACGCATGACTGAATCGGTTCGCATAATGCTCTTCTCTAAGAATATGGAAGGCAACTTGTATTTGTCTAGGAATTCGCGTAACGCGATGAGGCGACTCTATGGAAACGAGTCACTATCGTTTTGCCGCTTATTGGTTGCAACTGCATTTGGTGTAGCAGTCGGCGAGGCGCACTCCTCGGGCGGACAGTTTATGTGCGTGCATTCACCCTTGTCTATATTTGTCGAATGCCAGACATCGGCAGATGATCTTGTCTGATACGCACCATAGGTTTTTTTTCGTTGTTTTGTTCGCATGGCGCATTTCGTGTCAACCCATGTCACCTGTTCACACACGTCCCGGTTCTCTCTCAATGGTGGCTTGCAGATTGGGTGCACAGCTCCGTGGTTGAGGCGCAAACTTACCAACCGTGAGGTCCGTGGTTCGAACCCGATCTCTGCAAACCCACTGCTCCTATTTAGGCTTGGGAAATCTGGCAGTATCGTAACCCTCGTTCGTCCTTCGGTTGACATGGCATCGCGGCACTGAAAGGGTAGTATCGCTGCGCAGTTGTAAGTTTATTTATTTGACGCTTCAGATAAGGGACCAGCTGATACTGGTGGAAGTAAAAGGTACACTGACGCGTTATAAATTATGTATTGAACTGCTCGTTTGCTGCCAGACATGTCTCTCTACTAGGCAAGGACAGTTTTTGGTACCCCTCTCGCACGGTGACTGCATCATAATTTGAACAAGTAAACAGCCGAAGACCAACCGACTGATGTTGCGATGTCAGCTGACAACCATCTTGGTCACTGTGATGGAGTGATTATCGATTTCCACTAGGCGAGCTGATTCGCTTCTATCCTCATAGGCAACACACGTCTAGAGACAGTGTGACCGAGGGTACACCGCTAACGTAATCTGATAGTTTAGAACTGAATGGAGAGTACTACCTATTCCTAAGGCACTATCAACTTGAAAGAAATCGAAGAAATTGTGTTTTCATGTCGCCTAAAGGGCAAACATTTGTTTCACGGCCAAAATCAATCGGGAAAACACCTTTTATCCAAGCTTCAACACTCAGATGGAATCCACGCACTCTTGATGAGAGACAGTAACGGAAAGAGAACCGAACGAGTGTAGGATATTCCCATCTGGGACCCTGGTTTCTTATCACTTTCTGGATGAAGTGACATGTACTCAGTTTCACTCAGTTAATGTAAACGACATCCTATCCATCCAGTGAGAGTGTGAATGGGACTTAACCCATAAGTTTCAATAACCGTTACAACAGGGGGGAAATTTTGTTGATGACCCTCTAACCTGGTCTGTATTAGCAGAGGAAAATGCGTTAATCAATAAATTTCAGATTCGTTCAATTTTGGGCTACCTGACTAGAGATTCATCGCTTGAAAATGCAGAAAACTGCAGACAACGAATGTATGATGATCCAATTGTTCTATGTTATACAGTCACCTAGACTGAACAATAAAACCCACCGGCTCGTACAACCATATCCCAGTTACCTTGCTACCAACAAACTAACTGACTGCAGATTTTGGGACAGAGTTAATTTGTTAGACTGTCACTTTTAGTAAAGTTCTGTTTGGAAATTTCCTGACAAGGAGTAACGCATCTGAGCATGTGAAAATTCATGACGGTTGGAATAAGTTAAGTGTAGACTTGAATAAATGTTACTGAGTACTGAACCTTCGTTTTTATCCTATCTTGATTCCGCCCGGAACTCAAAGTAGAAAATCATGAGTTAAGGACATGTCACGTGCTCTCAGTTGTTACTCGTAGACGAATACGGCTGAACCAAAAACTGTCACACGGGTGAAGTACCGGGAAAGAGGTCTCATCACGAAGTGTTGTTACGTGTTCACGTTACCTGGCACTCCTCAGCCCACTGTGAGTGGAGCTCCAGCTGACGATTAAGTCCGTCTTTTCCAACACTTGCTGTCTCGTCCAGTGATGCAGATTGTGAGGACGGACCGGCGTGCAACGAATCAAACCGACGCTCCTGCGCGGAAAGCCAGTCCGTGGCGCGCTTCACCTCCTCATCCGCCTGCTTTATTCGTTCCATCAGCCCTTGTACTTTGGATTCCAGTTCTTCCAACATCCCACTCTGACAGTCAAATTTGTCTTTCATTTCCGCCAGCTGTGAAGAAATAAGCACAGATCACTTTATGGGTTCGAAAGTTATGAATGGAAAACCAGAGGAGTATGGAAATCTACGATATAAAAAATATTGTCTGGTCTGGTGTCCCAAGTAAGCCTCCGCATCCAATCGAAGGTGAAGGGGTCTTTTCCAACACTTGCTGTCTCGTCCAGTGATGCAGATTGTGAGGACGGGCCTGCGTGCAACGAATCGAACCGACGCTCCTGCGCGGAAAGCCAGTCCGTGGCGCGCTTCACCTCCTCATCCGCCTGCTTTATTCGTTCCATCAGCCCTTGTACTTTGGATTCCAGTTCTTCCAACATCCCACTCTGACAGTCAAATTTGCCTTTCATTTCCGCCAGCTGTGAATAAACGGGCACAGCTCACTTTATGGGTTCAAAAGTTGTGAATGAAAAACCGGAGGAGTATGGGAATCTACGTTATAAAAAACATATCATTACGACTATGTACGCTAGTGATCATGCATGCAAGTATTGTCTGGTCTCGTGTCCAAAGTAAGCTTCGGCATCTGATCGAAGGTGAAGATTACTGCGGAAACTATGCAACCGCTTCACAGTGTTCGTGCATCATTCTTTCATATTCAAAGAATGTTCAAGAAGGCTCCAAAGGATGCTTGAGAATGCTCGCTCTTCAAAAGTTCTGTGCAGATGAGATGTTTACCTTTGTGTTGGGTGGCTTTACTAATAAACAGCACCTGCCGAGCGCTCAATCGGCCATTGAGAAATCGCCTATGCATCTAGTTTCTGATGCATTACTCAAACTGTCGGCGCCGGAGAATTCAACCTCGGTGAACCGTTGTGCGTGAATGGTAGATGGTTAACTACTGACCGGAGCACTGTGGGTTCAAATCAATCTACAGCTACATGTGAGTTATACTGCAGGGACAGTCTTCTTGGCTGATCTGTGCAGATTAGCCTCGCTTGGAGCATGAACTCCCTTGAAAGCCTTGAAGGCTTCTAGCCGCTTAAAAGTCGTACTTTGGGTCATGAAATAGCTGACAATTCATGCTGGTTAGACGAGCGAGTTTCTATTTACAGTATCTTGTACGAATCAGTTGAAGTGTGCCACCAGGCTGATGTGCTTTAAAATACACGCACTTGTCTCGAAATCAGCGGTGGATGTGACTTATGACTTATGTCCCTGCAACGGTGGTGATCCCCATCTGGTCCGGACCAATGTTTATTGGTCGTCGCGTACACGCCTTCATCCGTAGCGGTCACTCACTAGATTGTGCGTCACAAACACTCAAATCGCGTAACAACTCCTGTCCCACTTGCAACCTTAGGTGACTAAATGTAGGTACACTACAATTTCCCATCCAGTTTTGTTCCTGTGGCTGCCACATGCTTGACGCGTCAGGCTTACGAACTTTAACCCTATCAGGTCAAGTTATATTCATGTTCGTGCAATTATCAAACACGAATGGATATCCCTCCTCACATTGCACATAATAAATGCGCATGCAGTTCGACCCAACACACTTACACACACACACAGGGCAGGAAGTCAATGGAACTCCGCTCCACAAGTCTCCACGGACTACTCGAGAGAGTTTCTATTTACAGTATCTTGTACGAATTAGTTGAAGTGTGCCACCAGGCTGATGTGCTTTAAAATACACGCACTTGTCTCGAAATCAGCGGTGGATGTGACTTATGACTTATGTCCCTGCAACGGTGGTGATCCCCATCTGGTCCGGACCAATGTTTATTGGTCGTCGCGTACACGCCTTCATCCGTAGCGGTCACTCACTAGATTGTTACACTGCAGAGAAGACACGTCCCGCGTCCGGAACTTCAATCAGGAACTCTCAACAGTTATCCTCAAACGATGAGTCACTCTTTGGCTTATTCCCTTCTTGCATTGTATTTATTTTTATCAGGTGTACATAACTTTTGTAATCATCATTATTCTAGTAAAACGGACACTCTTTAGTGCGCGTCACCTGATAATCAACCTAAGTATATTACAACTAGAGCGCGAACACAGTCCTGTCGAGTTTTCCGTAACTCCACCCCAGCTGTATTGTTCGTATGCATGCATATGAACAGATGCATGCCATAACGCAGTGGTTCCAACAGAACATGAGGTGGACGGAAACTTGGGGACTGTGCCCAGCTGGGTAACGCCAAGAAGGGCGAAACCGGTCGCGGGCTGTCGAAGAGTTTTCAGCAACCTTGTGAATAGTGTATTACGTCTACACATTGATGATATTTGAGGAATAGTCAACGGATAAATTTTAACGAGATATACGTGATAGCAACCCCCTGAAGACAATATTTCCTCAACGCTTCTTTATGTTATCGATCCTGCATGTCAGTGGTGATGATGATGATGATGATGATGATGTCGATGATGATGATGATGGCGATGATGATGACGATGATGGTGATGATGATGATGATGACAATGACGATGACGATGATGAGTTATCATGTCAGCCTTTCTGGTGGTTATCAGGAATGATCCCGGAATGCTGTAAACCTACTGAAACCCTAAATCCCCGCCTAAGTGGTAGTAGAGAAGCTGTCAGGTATCTGGGCCAGAAAGGACAGCTACCTATTAGACGCTCAAGCAGTTAGTCGGTTCAGCAAAGGCCAACGATAATGAGTGTTCAGGTATGACACAAGAGCACGGCCGAAGATGATGAGTGTTCACTCAACGCCGATCAGACAGCCAGGATCAAGGTCGAAAGCGCGCTTTAAGTATCGCGAGGTCCTTGGCAAATTTTGCACTTGCTGTTTTTCTCCTTGTGCATGAGTCGTTTGTCAACACTGGAGCGGAAACGGCAGTTGGTTACAACAAAAGCAGTGGTCAGTCTATTTACAACCGGCAGTGGGATGGTGGTTATGAGACAAATGCTAAGAGTTAGTGGAAGCCGTCAAACCATCACGGAAGCGGCCACTTACAATATTCTTTCAATACTATTTGTTGTACTTCCGAAAATATCGTACGAAAATCACTTTTGAATCGGTGGCTTACAATCGACCTTGTCGACAGGTGTACCTCATTAAACGTCCAATTTCAAGACGCCTGTTTCAAAAACAAGCTTGGTATCTCGAGAAATAAACTCATTTGCATATCAATTTGGTTTTCACGAGAAACTCAATCGAATTTCTCGTTTGTGATGTTCTACGAATGAATGTGCTGCACACAGACCCAGTGTGATTTCAGTCGGCACGATATTGGAGACATAGCAGTATATTTTCATAAAGGAAACTACTCACAAGGTTGCTGAAAACTCTTCCAGTTCAAGTAGAACATAAGGTTGACGGAAACTCGGGGACTGCGCCTACCTGATGGGCGCCAAGGAGAGAGAAACCGGTCGTGTGCTGTTGAAGAGTTTTCAGTAACCTTGTGAGTAGTTTCCTTTATGAAGGCTGGTGCCTCTCTAGTTAAGCCGAAAAGCAGCTTTGAAACGAAAAGGAAATTAGTGAGTCCCAACCAAATGTAAAAATCAGCCTTCTGTTCTCATGGAATACCAACAGAGGTGGGTTATTATGAGTTAGTTTTAGGGTTCTCTCTTGATGTTCCCTACTTGCAAATAGAATGAATAACTAGAACGACAAAAGTAACCATTAAACTCACTTGCCGCTCAATTTCAGCTCTCGCGTTTGCGGACATTTGACCTGTCATGTCTTTTGTAGGATGGAGCAATTTCTCAGTTTGAGCCACTGCGCTACGCAAAATGGAGGAGGCCCGATTTTCACATTTCAGGCGCGCTTCCTGAATACACGGGACAAAACGATTCAGAACGTTTCATAAACATACGGAGAACAACCTCTTCTGATATAAATAATGGACGTGATTTTATCTCATCCCTCTTGTTCCTCCCCCCGTGATAGTCTGACAAAAGAATGCTGAGATAGCCTAACAGAAGATGGAGCTTGATTTGAAGTTTCACACTTTTTCACATCTATGCGGTTAAATTCGAAATTATTCTCTGTAAGGTCAAAAGTGAGTGGACTCATGAAGAAGACGAAACGCCCGTCGTTATGGTTTTGTCGCTCTGAAGTTTACTGACCGTTCCGGATGTGGCGGCCCGCCACCGTTCTCACTGTTCAGTAAGTATGTATGTCTTCAGTCTAGCTGAATACCTCGTTGAGCGAATACCTCACCGTGTAAAGGAGATGGTCGTCTTTGACTGGAAGGACTGCGATGATCGAAAAAACCCAACCACTTCAACTTCATCAGAGGAATCATAAGTTGAAGAACAGAGCAGTAAAGTCATTCGCGCTAGTAATAAGTGTGGCTGATCGATTGACTCACGTCACTGGATGGAACAAGTTTCAAATGTCTTCATTCCATGCACATGATACACATAGAACTCTCAAACAGCAGTGGGGAAACCACTGAAAGCAAAAACGGTGGCATGACTCTACAACCAGTCCAACTGGATTAGCTCAATGCGGCTGAACAGTACTCAAGCAACAGTCACGAATCACGTGGCCGTCCTAGACAGAACGAAACAAGAAAGCACGTGGTCACTATGCCAACCAATGATGTATGCATGCGTCCACAATGTATTCAGGTCTTCCTGACCCCGTACGGAAAAAGGCATTTTCGTGCGCCATTCAAGGAGTGCGGCATTCATGGGCGTGTTCACCACAAAGAAGCGATGGAATGCGCAAATCACGGATACATCAGAAGATCCATCATCGTCTACTCCATGAATCTATCCTTCTTTAGTAGCTCATGGTCCTGTGGAGGTTGGGGTTAATCCCTAATGAACCAGGGTGCTAGTTTCTGCAGGCAAAAACGAAATTTCACACATGTTTGGTGGAACGACAAGCAGCGGAGCTAGTTCCAAGTTGACTACTGTCACAGACCTGCAAAACATTAAAGACCCTCTCGAAACCAAAAGGAAGGTTGGATGCAGTGAAGAAAGGGAACTTGATCTACGAATTTCAGTGTAATGACTGTGACAAACGCTGCGTGGAAGAAAACTTTCCATCAAAATATACGAACTCAGTGTCACTGTTTTCAATTCACGAAGGCAGCGAGGGACATCAGTTCAGTTGGGACAGTGTTTGAATACTTGCTCACGCAAGAACAAAACGGGAGCGAGGGTTTGCGGAGGCGTGGTACTCCACACGAAAATCGATCAATGAACACGTTGATATGGACCCAGTCTTCAAACCACCATGAACAAGAGTTACACAATTGTGAGGCTCTGAACCATATGGGAAATCAGACAACCTAAAGATAACCAACGAACCAATCGGACCCAAATACATGTAGGTTTCCCCACCGATCCAACACTTGTTCAACCACTCTAACACACTAAAATCCCTCGGCCGACACCCAACAGAGATTCAGCTTGACTTAGCTGATTGGTTCTCCTTCCGCCTTAAA